GAGAGTGAGATTGTGAGGAGAGTGTGAAAGCATTTTGCCACTTGCACTCATATATCCCTACCCACCACATACAGTTTTTTTGAGCTCCTGAGTTTTTTCTCACATAGCACACACCTTAGACACGTGGGTTTCCTCATTCCTTGTCTGATCCTTTGGTTCACCTGGACAGAAAGGAATAGTGCGAAGCATAGGGATATTACCTTTATGTTTTCTCACATTGTTTTGCAGGTTGAGAGACACATTTCACTCCTCATCTCATTGGGCAGGCTCACGGCCCGAGACTGGACAGGCTGCACGCCACCGCAGCGCTATATGGTGGCCCCACCACCGCCTGTTCGGACTCCTCGGGCCAGAGCTGTTGTTTGGCTGCGACCTGACTCTCCGTGGGTCAAGCTGAACACTGATGGCTCCTTCGATCGCCACACTGGAGTTGCCGGAGGAGGAGGCTTGATTCGGGACCATAGCGGCGCCCTCATCACCGCCTTTCACGCGTCCATTCAGTCCTCCTCGAGCTACGACGCAGAGATTCAGGCACTACAGATTGGCCTTCAGATAGCTGCCCACATCTCTAGTCATATATGGATCGAGCTGGATGCTGCGGCTGTCGCCACCCTCCTGACTTCGGGCCATCAGGGCTCGTGGCAGATTCAGCACCCGCTTCTGCGCATTAGAGATCTACTTCAGTCAGTTCATCACAGGATCACGCACATTTTCCGTGAGGGAAACAGACCGGCTGATTACCTGGCCAGCCTTGGCGCCACCATACCAGGCACACATACATTCCAGACCGACACTGCTCTACTCCGCCTTCGCACTCTTGTACGGATGGACCAGCTTGGATACCCAGCGTTCCGCTTTCACTAATATAGGATTTCTATTTTCATTAGTATAGACATTTATCTCGGGCATCTGTTAGACCGTTCATCGATTTTATATTGTAGTTTTTTGCTTCTTTTTCGTTTTTCGGTTTTTCTTTCTTGTTTTTCTTTTGCTTTTGGTTTTGATCGTCAGACTATGTAGATCGTTGTATCTGGTTCGTTGACATTTTGGACTCCCGTTTTTGGGGCCCTGATCTATGCACAGGTTGAGGATCCAGCCCAATCCCCCGCCCTCCCGGGGCGTTGTTTGTTTAAAAAAAAAAAAAAAAAAACCTAGCAGCTACAGATAACTAACCTAGCAGCAAGAAAGAAATAACCTAGCAACTTAAGACAACTAACCTAGCAGCATCAGACAACTAAACTAGCAGCAAGAAAGAAATAACCTAGCAACAAAATACAACTAACCTAGCAGCATCAGACAACTAATCTAGCAGCAAGAAAGAACTAACCTAGCAACAAAAGACAACTAACCTAGCAGCAAGAAAAAAATAACCTAGCAACTTAAGACAACTAATCTAGCAACAAAACTCAACTAACCTAGCAACAACAAACAAATAACCTAGCAACAACTAACCTAGCAAGAAAGAAATAACATAACAAAAGACAAATGGTCAACAGTCAACGTCGAAAGTCAACGCCGGAGTCAACGGTCAACGTCGGAAGTCAACGATCAACGTCGGAAGTCAACGATTTTCGTCGGAAGTCAACGGTCAACGCCGGAGTCAACGGTCAATGGTCATAATAATATTTAAATAATTTAAAAATAAAGAATTATTATTTAAATCAAGATCTAAATCTTGTGGCTAGGAATGAGTCTCACGTCCTCACTTTAAATAATGGGATGCATTGGAACCAATCCCTACATGGATCAATTCATAAATATCCACATGTCCACGTACCAAATAATTTTCTTAATAAAAAATTTCAAACATTCCATAATACCAATATGTATAATTTAATAAACTATATCAATATTGGTCTTAAAATGAAACTCTAATTAAATTGAGTTATAATAAAATAAGTTTATTTTTATAAACACAATTTATTTTATTTACAAAAACTAATTTGAATGATAAAGGGTGAGTATTATTACCTTTGATCTTTTCGTTAAACATACACATTAGTCGTAAACCAAGTCTTCAAGCATTCGGACGTTGGGTTGGGATATGGTGGGGATCAAAAGTATATAATAATACATTTTGGAATAAGTCCCACTTAATTTACAAATAATTGTGATGCTAGCTGTGCTCAATCGTCATCATTAGCCACGCAAATTATATAATTAAAATTAATTGATATTGTAGAATTTACTTGAAAGCCTGCGGTCTTATCTGGGTACACAATGGCGAGCTTTGTGCAAATCTGGGAATCCGCCAAATATGCTCTTATTATCTCCCAGCTGTCGCTGCTAACGGCTCTAATGCCGCTGAATAGTTCGGCGGAGAGATCCAAGCGGCAGGTCCGGGAAGTTTTGAGGGGAAAATCATTATATTGAATTCTGGTTAGATCTTGTTTTTGTGGGGTTCTGTGTGTGGATTTTGTTAAGAGTTTATTAATCCAGACACGGTTTTTTGGTAATGATTACAAGAAATTAGTGACTTGTAATAATTCGATTTCTGATACAGAAGATCGTTTATAAGATGAAATTGCAGAGCATAATTTCGTCATATTAAAAGTCGAGCTCTAGAAGGCAGAAACTCGTGCTGATAACGTGTTATAAAATAGAGAGAAAACTGAAATAGAAAGAATATAGAGAATGTTTTCTCTTGGTTGTATTTTCATTATAACTGAAGCTCCTATTTATAGGAAAACTTCTGATGCCATAATCGTAATAATACAATTACATCAGGGGCAAAATAGTCATTCACATACATTATTTAATAATAAAATGTATTATGGTAGGTGGTGGTTATACCCACCACACTTACCATATTATAACATCTTTTACATTGTTCCATAAAAAAAATATATATTTCTTTCACCCCACAACTCACGACATTATATGTGATATAACAATCGCATATCCAAATGAACCGCTTAACTAATAAGTATGCGAGATTCTGTCGTATATACACCAATGCATAACTAAATCAGACATATAGTTCATAATTATGCGAAAACATTCACATATTTGTTAATCGTATATCCAAATCCACTGCATCTATCTATACTTATATTAAAAGGTATCCTATTTACTAAATTTAATAATAAAAAAAGTCAACAGCATTAATTATCCTTACTATTTCCGTATAGATTTTTTATTTAATGATTTGTTTTTCTGTTTCCCAAATATCGGCTACCAATCTTTGTATCTATTAAATTGGCGGCTATTAATTTATTGTCTTTAGAGTGCTCCGCAAGAATTATTTGTATAATGGAATAGGTTGACTAAACAGATTCCCAAAAATCAGCTATCAGTATTTGTATAGATTATCTTCCTAATTATCTTCTAATTTATTCTATTCTATTCAACCTATTTAGTCAACAAAATCGCGTAGAATCTTTTTTAAGTTTCAATTGATTGAACTTGAAATTACATTCACTGTAATTCAGACGCATATTATGCTACTCAAGATTCTGTTATGATTTTTTTCCTCTTTATCTTCAAACAAATTAGTATTAATTGGATTCCTTCTTATTTTAAATTTCTCCTTATTCCTTCTTATCGGTTTAGATTATTATACGCAATCAGATTAAATTGTTGGAGAAGATATCTATCGTGAAAATAGAACAACAATTATACATTATAAATAAATCACAAATATTGAGCAGCGAATATAAATAATATTGAGTTGAGCAGTGTCTTCTTCACTTT